GTTTTGTTTTGTTTTGTTTTGTTTTGGTGGGGATTTTGTGGAATTGTTTCACTGTTGTATTCAACAGCAGACACTCAAGAAGAAACAGATGTGTGTATTGTAGACAGGATCTTTTAAATATGTTCTTAGAAAAATACAATACGTGAAAGAAATAAAACTTGAAATAACACTGAAATTTATTCAATCTCTCCCACATCTTTTGTGGTATGATATACCAGTTTTTCACTTTGCCTGTTTTACCTTGGTAACTTCTGTTACGTGAGTGGGGATAACTCCTGCAAGGTTAGCTTTAGTTTCTTGCTTTTCTTTGTCGCTCTAGTCTAATGGAATTTAATTTATATCTCTCTGTTTCTGCAGATGACAACATTTTAATGCTTTCCAAAAGTCAGATGCATGACCAAGATATTTCTAATGGAAAAGAAGGGTCCACAGTACATGTTAGATAAACCATGCAAACAAGAAAAAGTATCTGCGGCATTTACAAGTACATCTTAGGCAAAGTTAAAGGTTTCCTGAGCAGTTTTTTTCAGTGTGCAGGCACGCCACGGTATTTTTGCATCACCCTTGCAATATGGAAACTTCATAATGGATCACCTGAAGTTTTCTTCTGAGCTGTGGATGTTGCTATGTTTGCTTTCCCCTCTGGGACTCTCTGCAGTTGCCCTTGGCTCTCTTTGCCTCAAAGAATTACTCAAATCTCTCACACTACTAGTTAGCTGATGTTAATAACAAATGCCGGAGATCTTGGTAATGCTCTGTGGTTTAGCCTTTTTTTAAGTATCTGACACTGGGAGAATTCCTTGGGAAGAATTTGCATACCTACACAATGGCACTGTATTGCAAGTGGTACTTGACTGCGCTATCAGACTGCTGCTTGGGAAGTTAAATTCACATCTCCCTTGAAGAACTCCCTCACCCAGCCTCCTTTAGTAGATATCAGGGCTGGGGCTAAATGTCTGCAGAGTGGGATATATGTACATGCATGCACGTATATTTTAAAGGAAATGTCTTTGCTTTAATCAGATCCTTGTATTGTACTCTAATCAGACTAAGACTTGTAGGTGGTCTTTTTGAAGTAGTGAACCTGTAGCCTCTCTGCACTTGACGTACGATACCCCTAGACCCCGCTGACAGAGGCTGAGTGGGAGGGGAAGTCACCATGGTCACTGACAAGTTAAAATTCAGTGTGATCGTGTTGCTGTGTTTCTATATCCAAAGAAAAAGACGACCTTTTTATTAACCTGCTACTTTCACATTCAGGAACAGTGATGGCAATTTACCTTGAGTAACCTCTTCCATTAAGCTTGTCTACTTTCTTTTGGCTGTCTTCAAAGATGAAACTTGATCACAATCTTCAAAGTCCTTCCCCTTATCCAGTATTTCAATCTCTTATTTGAAATGCTGTCTACAAACTATTTCAGACATTAACTTCAGCCCTTTTTAATGGTAAAATATCTGAATTTTTCCTCTCCTATCTTTCTGAACAGAACAAATAAATCTATATGAACAGTGGCCCAGGAAGTGTCTCTGAGAACCATGGCCTGCAACGGAGATGATAAGAAGTTACATGCATCCACGAACTGGTGTTAGCAGGATGTCTGGAAAATGCTGTTCTTATCCTGTTGGAAAGCTTCCAGAATCTCAGAATTACCACCTCCCCACACACACATCCTGCCAAAACTTTAAGCTCGAAAGCAAAGGGATGTCATGACATCTCCTTAAAGGGGTTATAATGAAATGAACTGGCGATAGACTGGGAAAATGGCTTCATGTCTGTCGAGAGTTAGGAACTGATAGTTGGGTGTGTTTGCTATCTACCTGTTAGACTAAACCTTTGACAAAGGTTTTCAAATACAAATAGGTTCCTCTAGTTATAACTTACACCAACCGAATTAATTATCTATTATGTGGTGGCGTAAAACCAGATTTTGTTACTATGTAACAGTAATTGGAGGTTTGAGGTTTTGTTTTGAAAATTGTTATTGTCTCAATATAATCTGCACTGATGATCTCCTTGCTGTTTCAGAAACAAACCTTCCAACAGGGAGTGGTATAGGGCTGGAAGTTACAAGAGGAAACCTCCTTGTTTTTTCATTGCTGAGACAAATTCATTTTAACAAACTGACTAAACCATTATGATCAGCTATTCTGAATTCTGATACAACTTGACAGCAAGATTCCTATGTTTAGATTTTATGGTCTGCCTAGATCAGAAACTACCTTCCTATGAAGAAATGCAATGCTCGTTTAAGGACTTACAAGATTGATTCTCCATTATATACCTAAAAGTTGTTCCAGTGGTTTAATTATCCCTGCTTTTAAAAATATCTGCCTGACTCCTAGTTCAAACTTGCCAAGTTTCAGATATCTGTTATTAAATTTTCTTAACCACTTGCCTGGTAAATTAAAGGGTTTTCTGCTCTTGGGACTCTTACTTTTTTCAGTGTGCATATTTGGACAGCTTCATTCAATTTGCAGTCCTTGTTCAGCTTTTATTCTTAAAAATATACCAGATTTACAGAAAGCCTTAGATGCAATAGGATTCAGTATAAGTGTTGTCTTCTTTTTGGTATGTGCCCCACTACCCAGACACTGAGGCAAAATATTATTAGCTACTAGAAGGGGAGCTAATCCATAGCTTACATTTTATGGTACTCATCCATGTTCAGTTCACACCTCTGCTTCAAGAAATCCAAATCCCTGTCTCCTGTCTTGGAGAATATCTTAACCACCAGGCTCTTTAGAGTAGTTCTCAGCACCCAGGCTGTGATGGTTCTTCTGCTTTATGCAAAAGAATAGAAATTCATGTGAAGTGAGAAGGCACATGGCTTTATCTAGCCCAAGAGCTGGATGTTCCTGCTGTGGCCCATGCCATGACTCTGCTCCCCATTGTAGTCTTCCCTAAGGGCTCCCTCACATAGTGCACTCACTCCTTTACACTTCCAGATACTTGTTTTCTGTAGTCCTGCTCCTGGAGTACAGACTCTTTGGCAGAAATCCCTTTCGCTCCCTCTGTTAAGCATTCCTCCTCCTTTCCCTTCAGTAGTGCCCCCTTTCTTGTTAAATCCCTCTACTTCACCAGCTGAATTGAATCAGGTGCCTGTAATCCATGGATTCTTCTTTGGCACTCTTGACTCCTTCATCAACAGACCCTTTCTCTGCTATATCTTATCGAAGAACAAATGGACAAAATACTATTGCTATTTGCTGCTTCAACTTAACTTTTTTCTTTTGCAACCATTTCTCTCTCCTTTCTGAGAGGCAGATATGTTTTCCTGACTCCTCTCTATGTCCCCTACTTATCCCATCCTTTCCCATCTTGGTATGGGGCTGCATTAGGAAGAGCATTGCCAATGGGTCAAGGGAGGTGATCCTTCCCCTCTACTCAGCACTGGTGAGACAAATCTGGATTGCTGGGGCCAGTGCTGGGCTCCCCAGTACAAGAAAGTCATGGACATGCTGGAGGGAGTTCAGCAAAGGGCCAAGAAGATGATGAAGGCACTGGATCATCTTTCATATGAGGACAGACCGAGAGAGCTGGGACTGTTCAGCCTGGAGAATATAAAGCTCAGAGGGATCTTATCCAAGTGGGGAGGTAAAGAAGATGGAGCCAGGCTCTTCTTGGTGCCCAGTGACAGGACAAGAGGCAATGGGCACAAGTTAAAATACAGAAAATTCTGTCTAAAGACACAACCCCCCCTTTTTTTTTACTGTGAGGGTTATCAGGCACTGTCACAGGTTGCCTGGAGAGGCTGCTGAGTCCCCATCCTTGGAGATATTCAAAACCAAACTGGACAGTCCCAAGCAACCTGCTGTAGGTGACCCTGCTCTGAGCAGGGAGATGGGACTAGATGACCTCCAGAGGTGCCTCTGAACATTACCTGTCCTGTGGTGATCTCCTAATCTGTCCATAGCTATTTTCATCTTCTGCTACCACTCATTTCTTTCCTTAGCCCACATTTTCCACTTCCAGCTCACAATCCAAGAGAGTTGTTTCATCCTGCAGATATAAACCAAGATTTTTGTGCCCCAATTAATTTTAACTGCTCCCAATTTTCTTTTCTTTTTTAATTTTGTAGTTTGTTTACAGTAATTCTACACTTTTTAGATTCATTTTTTAAGAAGTGGTTTAAATCAATATCTCAAATTATTTATTTTTGTCTAAATCTTGGAGTCGACCCTTTGTCTTCACCCTCCTTTCTTGTTAGCAACAGCCAGTCCTGCTCCACCCGAGCTCTGCCCACGGTGGCTCTCCTCCAGCTCTGCGCTTGCTCCCTCGGGCAGCTCTGGGTAGCTCTGCAGAACCCCGGACGCCAGCTTCAGTGCATCTGAGGTCTGAACTGCTCACTTCCCTTCCTCGCCTGTGGAGGAGGAACCTGTAAGTGTGTCATGTTATCTGGAATAAATGCTTTCTGTTGTCCTGGCCTTAAAGGAGTCACCTCAGTCCCAGCAATCATGGGCAGGCACTCAGCAGATGCTGACACTGTTAGTAGAGGGGGAGCGTTCACTGTGACTGGGGCTGGGTAGAAATGCAAGCTTGAAGATGAGAGAAAATTCACTTGAGCTCCTTTGGTCTCTCATTAAAGGCTTTCCAAATTTCAAACCATTCTAGGGATCTCATCTGAACTCTCTCCGGTCTGCTCTCATTAAAAAAGGGTGGGGGTTTTTTCTTGCCAACATTAATTAATTTTTTATTTCACTTACAGCCCACATTCCTGTTCCTAGCTGTTTGATCTTTGCACCTAGCTCTTTAATTAAAAGAAGGCAAGCCCAGATTTTCCTGCTGTCTGGACCTCTCTCTAGAAGCT